GGCGCAGCCTGCTCTGGGTGACCCTGCTTGGGCAGGGGGTTGGACTGGGTGACCCCCAGAGGTCCCTGCCAACCCCTGCCATGCTGGGATTATTATACACTGATGGCATATGAAGATCAAACAGCTGCTTGAGCTTTACTTTCAGATCTTCCTTTAAAATACCTTTTACAAGGTGGGATAGAACCTGGACAATGTATTTCCAGTTATGCAGAGGGTGAAGATAATGGCTATTTGATTTTCCTCCCTTTCCAGGGTGTCACTGAAGGCTACAACGGCACCATATTTGCCTACGGCCAGACTGGCAGTGGGAAGTCGTTCACCATGCAGGGAATCGTGGATTCTTCTACACAGAAAGGCATAATACCCAGGGCATTTGAACACATTTTTGAGAGCATACAGGTAGGTGTGTAAGGATCTGGAAGAGATCCTGTTGTAAGATGGCATGATATCAAGAAAGATGATTTTTGTGTCATGGCCCAAGGACTGAGTGCTGATCACACTCAGGAGCAAGAGTAGGGACGGGATTTTGGGTGTGCTGCCTCTCATCCTAAAGCTGAGACCCGCATACAGTCAGACGAACGGCACCCTCATCTCTGCTGACTTTATGGACTTGCACTTGAGATGTTTAAGGACCAAAAGTCCCTATAGCGAGTGCGTTGAGTGGTTACACCTGGGACTGAAACGCTGGGAGAGATTTGACAAAGTGCTGACTGGAGGTGGGCACCCAGCTGGCACTGGGGATCTGCGTGGGCTGCCGACTTGCCTTCATTTTGAGAACCTTACCCAAAAATCTTTCCCGTTTTGTGCAGTGTGCTGAAAATGCCAAGTTCTTGGTGAGAGCTTCCTACCTGGAGATTTACAATGAAGACATACACGACCTTCTAGGAGCTGATACCAAGCAGAAGTTGGAGGTGAGGTCGAGTCAATGTGTCTTAATTAGGAAGTGCTTTAATTTGTACAGATAAGTGTTATCGTGAAAGCCTCGCAGAAGTGCAATGGTACGCTCTGTCAGAAGCTGAATGCCAGAACATGAAGATATGGTGATGAATGTGGAAGCCGAGAGGAGATTTTAAGGGACTTGAGTGAAAGTTTAGGGCAGAAGGAACAGGATCCAGTCAGAGACATATCCTGTGTGTCCTGGTTGATAGCAGCCAGTCACTTAGCAGAAACTGCGTGAAAATCATTGCTGCACAAGGATGGAATAAAGTGCTCATGAGGCAGTTTCTTCCTAATCCTCTTCATCTCACGGCTGTCTCTAAAGCAGGAGGATTCTGTGCCTTAAATGTTTAATCTGATCCAGGGTAGCTGTGGATGATCTCATTATCTGTCCAAAACAAAAAAAGCTGATCTTTTCTGAGGGTACACAGGTGCCATTACTCCCCATGGGAAGGCATGGGGAAGGCGGGCAGTTTCCAGGAGCGCAGGAGAGTAAACTTTCTGGAAATCCTAATCAGGGGTTTGATTTTTATAAAATTTGTCTCTTGGTGGCTTTGCAGATGTTTTTGCACGTGTTCCTGGGGGCAGCTGCAAATCTCCTGTCCTAATTCACCTCCCTGCAGGACTGCCCCAGTGAAGAAAACCGAGGCGTGAGCACCATCTGCCGCACAGGCGGGCAGAGGTGGTGACAGACCCAAACATTGTTTTTAACAGGCTCCTGGCTTTAAGGGAGGCAAAACCCTCTCCACTCCGCGTTCCAAGCGTGCTTCACTTGTGTGTGTGGAGAGGGAGGGTGGGAAAAGAGGACTTGCTGTTTGGGAAGGCGCTCGCTGCAGTTCCACATCAGCGGTGACACCGGTTTCCATGACAACCGCAGTTGGCACTGGGAGGGCAGGAGTTGGGCAGAACAGTTTCCAGGGTAACACCATCACACCGGTGACAGCCGCTGCCTGTTGCTGCCTCCACCGAGTAATTAAGTCCTGCAGAGACCAAAATCCCGGGCTGACCCACTGCTTCCTTCTGTGCCTCCCAATTCTCCACCAAAACCCCATTTCTGATTGTTCCTTTGCCTTTCAACATCAGTGACTTTAGCGACGCTGAAGCCCACAGTCGCCTCCTGTGGCGTGAAACCCTGAGAAGAGCAGGTTTTATGGTGTTTTGCAAGGAAAATGCCCCTGGCAGTCTGTTACGGAGTTAAACAACAGCCATGTCCTCGGCTGGGTGTTCCTCAGGGACTCTGCAGCACCCTCGAGTACAGCCGGGCCAGCCGCGGGGTTCTCCTGTAGCACAGGCAAAAGTCACAGTGTGTGAACAGTCTGGCTGTGATTCTGTACCTGGACTCCTCCTGGGCAGCACGGCTTTAGAACAAGGTTAAATCCTTGCCTTAGTTTAGTTTTTAGCTAGTTCTGCTTCGTTCTGTGCCGATTTAACAGCGAACACGCTGTTTTACATAGCTTCTTGTGGTGCATGGATCACCAAAGTATCTAAGGATCTTCTTTGGAAGTCACACCACCAAACACGATATCTGTCACTCTGCGACACCGAGTCATGAGAGCCCTATCTTGATATCCCAGCTGACACGATAAAGATAGAGCTTTGGTTATGAACTCAGCAGATGTGGGGCGTAACATAGCTGTTGAAAATGAATTCAGCTCGTTTAAAATTCCCAGTGTGGAGGGATCTTCGGAGGGGGCTCGTGTAGGAGTGCAGGGATCTCTTGATTGTTTTGTATTTTTTATGTAGGTTTCAACAAGATTTTGAACATGTCAATCATTTATTAGCATGCTATATGAAATTTTTCTTCTGCATGTTTGATAACTGCTGAAAAGATGCCGTTAGGTACACACTCTGTCTCTATCCAGGTACCTGAATAGGATTTTAAGGTATCTTAAAGATGAACTAATCTGGAGAAAAATTATTATAGTTTGCCTGTGCGTGATGGGTGTGACTTGGGGGTTTTGTCAGGGAGATCAAGACGCCCTCTCAGAGCGGAGGGGTTCAGCAAAGCACCGCTAACAATATCTGTGGCTGTTGAATCTGTGCTTTGGTTTTTAAAAAGCTCCCTATAACTGAGGAGATATTGCAGCCTTTGCCATAATAGGTGAAAAACATTTCAGTTCTTATTTTAAAATATGCAGCTTAATAATAGGGGAGGTAGAAGGTGGCTCAGCACAGGTTTCTTGTGGCCTGGGAGATGTCTGAATCAATCAGCAAACTTTTAATTCTTTTTGCCTGCAGAGCCATGAAGGTGGTTCCCTCTTTTTGTATGGTTTTATCCCTGCTTCAGAAAAGCTTTTTGGTGGGAGCCAGATACGTTTTTGCCATTCTGAAGTTTAATTTCTCCACATGCAAAAGTTGCGTAGTCCTCGAGCTTCAGGACAGTTTCCAGCACGGCTTCCTGCAGTCTCGGTGCGTCTTGTTCTAACCTGTCCTGCCTTGTCCCCGTTTGCAGCTGAAGGAGCACCCGGAGAGAGGGGTGTACGTGAAGGGGCTCTCTCTGCACACAGTGCACAGCGTGGTCCAGTGCGAGCGGATCATGGAGACGGGCTGGAGGAACCGAGCGGTGGGTTCCACCCTCATGAATAAGGACTCTTCCCGCTCCCACTCCATCTTTACTGTTAATATGGAAATCTACACCGTAGGTAGGTAGCCGGGTGTCCTGTGTTAGGCCTGGGCCTAGCGGAACGCAGAACCTGTGCGGTCTGACCAGTCACCCCACAGAAAAACATAGATCCTAAATGATTTTAGGTCCAGTAGAAATCAGAATTGTGCCCTGACACAGATATTTGTCACAGTGTGAAATGGCTGAGTATTCAAAGTCTTCATTTTTTTCCTCAATTCCCCCTTGGGAGAGGAATGTCTTACGCTCAAACTGGGATCATATTTAATTCTCCATCCATTTCTTTATCTTCTCAAACCTTCATTTCCAGCAAAGGGTGCTGAATCTCACAGCCCATATAGAATGGCTTGGAGTTCATACATTGTGCAGCCTGGAGAAACTTATGTCGTTACCTGTCTTGTTCTTGTCTGACCTCCTTCACAACACAAGTCAGATCATTTCACCCAAGGATTCCGTCACTGAGCTTAATCACAGGCACATCTTCCAAGCAAACAGCTAATCTGGGTCTAAAGATGGAATAAAAGAATCCCTTAATAACATTTTAGTGACTAGTTTTCCTTTCTTGAGCATCTCCTTTCCACTGGTGTTTCTTTAGCTGATAAAGCTGCCTTGCTGAGCCCAAACATGGACTTCGAAAGGGTTTTTTTCTGGGACTAAGAAAGGAATTACTCTCCTATATCCTGTCTACGAGACAGAATTCTGTCTCCTTGACCCCGGCTGAGGCTGTGAACAGCTTGGCTTCGTTTTCGTCAGCTGGTTCAGTCTGGGGGGAAGTTACACAATCTCTTTGTAAGTTGTGGTTCCAGATGTTGGTGACAGTATCTCATTTTTCTCTATCCAAAATGGGGGGAGTGAGGGGGGGGAATTTTTGGAATTTCTCAATTAGCACAGCTGGTGGATGCTAATCCTTGCATTATGTGGGTCTGTAAATTCCCAATTTTAATCCTAACATACACTCCTCTCGTGTTCCAGATGGGTGCAGTGCTCTTAATCTAGCCTGAAACAATTTCTCTGATTTCAGGCTTTGAAAACTTGTTACACCAAACAGAATGGCAGGCAGGGAAACTTGCAGTTCTGGCAGTTAAATGGAAGACAGCTGGAATATTTGAGGAGAATGTTGAGGATTCTGGCACAATCCCTGTAACTGGATGGTTCCACTAAAGTAATCATTAGTTGAAATAGTTAATGAAGCTGGTATTTATGTTGTCATCTTTAGGCTTTGTGCAGAGGTGCGCAGGGAAGTTCAAACTCATTTTCCATTTGAGCCTGTAGTAAATGACGATTTACAGGCAGCTGATCTTTTAAAGGATCTCTTCACAATCATGTGGACTAAAATGACTCTTTAAAGTAACAGTTTAGATTCAGGAACAGGATTATGGCAAATATCCTCCTCTCTGGCTGCAGGTGTATGAAATGCGCAAGTTACCATCGGTATTTTTACAGTATTTAAGTAGCAGATGTTTTATTCCTTTACATTATGCTTAGGGATTGATTTGTTAATCAGAAAGATATACATTTGGCCAGTGCTTATGCCACCAGCACTGGCCCGTGGGCTGTATGAGAATTAGACAGGCAAGACTTTGGGGGTGCTGCAGGCATTTTAGCAAGAGTCTGGGGACCTTGTTACACCATGGAAACTAAACCACTAAGCCCCAAGATGGAAACAAGCAGCCTCCGTGGGTAAAAGCACTGGCAGGAACTAAACCAACTTTTTAATTGCCTGTCAGTGTTTACATAAACTGGGGGAAGGAGGGAAAGGGTTAGAAAAGCTACTTTTTGTGACTGTCCGCTCACCCCAGCTCTCAGCAGGGGCAGTGAGAGGGTTCTCTGTTTAAGCCCCATCTGTGGGATTTTTTTAGGGATTTTTTTCCCTAATTTTCCCATGTCTTGACATGCCAGAAAGATCTGGAGTGAAACAAGTTTGCTCGTGGCAAACGTTAAGTTCCGCAGTTAACAATCTGTTGCTGTAACTGGGGAGATATCCTGGGGCAAGAGATTTTAGATTTTTTTGGTGTTTATGTGTAAACTTTTAACTTTTCCCCATGCATCAGATTATTCATTGCTCGTGTTTAGGTGTTGTCCACGGCCATAAATCTGAGCTCTGACAAAGTTTAAGGCTAGTTTTTCTAGAAGTCTGTCTGGAAAAAGGCAGGCTTGGTTAAAACCTTGATGTTCTTTTTGGTTGGAGCGCTAAAGGAGCTTTTGCCTTGAACTTGGGTTGTAATCGTTAGGGATGATCAGGACGTGGACATCCACTACTTAGAGTAGTCTGTGATTTGGGAATGTGTGTCCAACTCCTCGCTCTGCCTGAGGCTGGGAAAGTTACATAGCCAGCAAAAACGAAGGGTTCCTAAAGTGACCGAACGCACTCTCTCTTAGTCACAGAGGATTTGTGTCACCAGGTTGATCCAGCCTCAAAATGCAGGTCAGGAAGCAGATATTATATGCGTGAGGTGTGCGTCCAGGTAGCTGGGGAGCTGGCTGTTAACGTCAGCTCACGTCTTCTCTTGCCTTAAAGCAGCACGACAGGAATGGCACCAGCTCACTGGGTCTGACTCCTCGCTCGCCGAGATCCAGCTCCTCATCCAGGTGGTTGGGGCCGAGTGCAGTCCCGATTTCTTGCAGTTTTCCTGTTTCTTGCCTGCGTTCCTTCATTTTACTTTCTCACTAAGAATGTCATGAGTTGAGGAGGAACAGATGCTGCCGAGCATGCCTGTGTGCTGAGTCATGGCGCAGTTTTACAGCCGTCTGGGCTCAGCTGGGCTTCCTGAACATTCGAGCCAGATGGTGGACCTTGATGGTATCTGATAGGATGTGCTTTTTCTTTTGAAGCACACCAAGAAACTTCTTGAATACATCCATTGCTTAGGGTAGGTTGGATTCCAGTCTTGAGAAAAGCTGTAGTTGGGGAGTTCATGGAAAAACTGTTTCCCAACGTAGTGTCTACTCCAGCCTTTCCCCGTGTAGACGTGACCTTCCTGCCTGTCTCCGTGTAATGTAGGCGTTCTTTAGGGAGCCTGCTCTTTTGCCTGTGCTTTTCAACCAGTCCTGCTCCAGTTGCTGGCCGTTGACTCCTCATTTCGTGCTTCCTCCCTTCTTTCTCTCCAGTTGTCAGACATTGTTTAACTTCGTGAAACAATCTGAGGAGGGAAAAAGTTGGATGAACCCATGGTCTGAGCTTGTTACTTGCAGAGGGCTTTGCATGAAACTCAGCTTCTGTGGAAATATGTGGAGGGTGTGTGTGTGTGTGTTCAGAGCTTACTGGGAGAGTGAGAATGGGCACAAATTCTTACTGTGCAGGATCTCGTTCAGGAAAGCACTAAAATGTGGAGTTCTAAGATTAGGTAGGTATTTATTTACTTAAGGGAGTCAGGGCCCAAATGCAGACAAAGAACAGGGCTTGAACTAGAACATAATGCCAAGAGAGTCCTGTTTCTTGACTCTTAAGATGCTTCCTCTTAAGCAGGAGTTATTTTCTTGCAGATGAACGAGGGCAGGACCACCTTAGGGCCGCAAAACTCAATTTAGTGGATCTGGCAGGAAGCGAGAGACAGTCAAAAACTGGAGCCACGGGGGAGCGGCTCAGAGAGGCCACCAAAATCAACCTCTCCCTCTCAGCTCTGGGCAACGTCATCTCAGCCCTGGTCGACGGCAGGTGTAAGCACATCCCCTACCGAGACTCAAAGCTGACCAGGCTGCTGCAAGACTCCCTCGGAGGGAATACCAAGACGCTGATGGTAGCGTGCTTATCTCCGGCTGATAACAACTATGACGAAAGCCTCAGTACTTTGCGCTACGCTAATCGAGCGAAAAACATCAGGAACAGGCCCTGTATCAACGAGGACCCCAAGGATGCTCTGCTGAGGGAGTATCAGGAGGAGATTAAGAAGCTGAAGGCCATTCTAGCTGAACAGATGAGCGCCAATAACTTGTCAGGTAGGAGAGCTCTTAGTGGCTGCAGAGATATTTTATCTTTGACAGAAAAAAGAGGGTTTTACATATAAAATGCTCAATGGATTTCACCTCAACCTTCCCTCACCTATTGGAGGAAGAGTTCTCCATTCTGGTAATGGACTTTTCCTTCACTGTTGCCAAATTGACCTTATTCCGCTGGTAAAGTCCATCTGAGTTACACAATATTTTCAATAATGACAAATTCCGTTAGAAAATGCTGATGTGATTCAAATCGTTGATTCTTCTTGGTCATTCTGGCTAGAATTTTGTCAGTCACAGAAGAGAGGTTTCAGCTGGCAGAGCACAAATGAGCTGCGAAAGAAATAATAATGTAGAATTCTTTATTAAATATATATATGTTTTCAAAGTTGGCATTCAGCCCCGTTCTTTTACACTGTGATTTTTTTTTTTTTTTTTTTAAGAGCAGTCTTTAGGAAACGCATACCCAGGAAACTGATCACCTTTCTAGAATTATGCCCTAGAAAATGGCAACTTTCAGCAGAGGAATAAGGCTATAAGATTTTTTTTTTTTTTTCCCCTCCCTTTCTGCCACCTTTCAGAAACACTTGTGAAGAAAGAAGCCAATTTCCTTGCACCTTTCATCTCCTTCCCAGTGTCTTTTATCTTCCAGATCTGTTAGCATAGCCCTGGAAACAAGTCTCACTTTTTTCTATGAAATGGATTAGATTTAAATTCACTTTCTTATACCTGAAGCTTAAACCTCCCCCCCTCTGCTCTGCTCTGCGCTGACTCCTCTCCCCACACCTTTGGAGCCCCAGGCCAGTGGGCGTTTTGGCCAGATGCTGGCACATGAGCGCAGTTTAAAGGAGCACTTGGATTGCGATGTTCTTTGCTGGCAGCAGGTTCTTTATTCTGTTTCCAGGCATTCTACAGACAGTCCCACCCAGTAATTGCGAGTGATTTTTATTTCTGCTTTGTTTTGTAGGGCTTCTACCTGCTGAGACTGCTTACCTGGCAGCGAAGCCAGCTCCCCTCCTCAAATCTCAGTTAGATCTTGAAGCAGAGAAGCAGCTGATCAGAGAAGTAAGTCAGGAGGGGGTATCCTGTAGTGTCTTTGACTAAGGCTTGCGGGTTTTTATAGTAATCATTACAAACATGGTGTAGGGCTGTGTGGTTCTGCCTTTGCAGAACGCTCTCTTACTATTTTTTGGTCCTTGGCCTTCTCGTCTGGACGGAATGTGTGCTGATGGAGGCCTTACAATGCTACTTTCTCTCTGCATTGTTCCCGTCACTCTGGAGATGAATTGGAATGGATTCCCAAGAAGAATTTTTGAAGTACATATAACAGGAAGAGGAAACTACATATGAAACTTAGATTACTCCTGTCAGAGGAGGAAGAAACAGGGGCGAGGAAAGCAGTAGTCAGAGGTGTTAGGAACGGTACAAGGATGAAGATAAAGAGGGGATATGGAGCCAGGAGGAAGAATGAGGAGTTGAGGGGCAGTGGGAGATAAAACTCTCTCCTTGCTCTTCACAAAGCTCCTCCCAGGGCACCACATCCACCCAAGACAGCAGGTTCTAGGGCTGACCTGTCACCTCTCATCAATAGTCTGTCAACTTAAGTCACAGGAAAAGTTGATGAATAACCAGATGGTAAAGTTTTATTGGGGTGGACATAAGACGCGTCCTAGACTGGACCTAGATGTGACCTTGTGTGCAGTCAGGAGCAGGGCTGTCGCGTCAGGCTGTCTGCTGTGCCTTTCAGGAGTACGAAGAGAGGCTGGCCCAGCTAAAGGCCAGCTACGAAGCGGAGCAGGCGTCCCGTGCCCGCCTCGAAGAGGACATCAGCAGCCTGAGGAATCGCTACGATCTCAAGCTGTCTGCTCTCGAGGAGAACCTCAGGAAGGAAGCAGGTGTGGAGGGTGCGCAGTGCGGACAGCAGGTCCCCCGGTGCTGTTAATATGCTGAGAGGTTGGCTTTAGGCACGGGCACGCACAGACTGTCTTTGCAAAGTCAGATTTGTGACAGCCACTGCAACCTTTATAAAGTGGCAACGACTGCTGCTGCAGCAAGTGCTGCCTGGCAGCGACAGCAGTCCGTGCTCTCAACCCTCCCTTATTGACAGCAGGAACAGTGCCTCTGGCTCTCCCAGGCTGTTCATGAGACTCTCTGTCCCAGCTTTGTCCACTTCCCTATGTCCCCATGTTCTGTTCCCTGTCAGGACCAGCCTGGCCCTACCCTGTAAGCCCTGAGGCGATGAAATGCGATTTTTGCCCATGTAGCTGTGAGTGTCTTCTGACTTAGCGCAGCGTTTCTCTCGAGCAGAGGTTTGGGCTGCAGAGATGACTGGTCTCGGCAGGCGCTGCTCCGCATTGACCCGACGGGCTTTGCGCAACTCGCACGCCCAAGACGAGGGTGGCTGCGGCAGTCACTTCCATCGTGTGCTGATGTGATGCAGCCCGTGGTCTCCCGGTGGGTTATCAACAACATCGCTTTGCTGGAGGGTGGATATTCCTCTTGCATACCTATAAATTATTGCCAGCTAGCCTCTTCATTACTGCTGTTCATTTATACTTCCGCAGTGCCTCAGAGCATGTTTCGCAATCTGCTTGTACAGCGCTTCTCACCCAATATTAATTTTTCAACCTATATTCTTCATTTTTGATGCTATCACTTTCTAAGGTGGAGGTTTTGTTTGGTTTTTTCCATCACAAATGTGCACCTCCCGGGCCTCTGCAGATTATTTGTGTGCGAACACCAGGACCCAGGCTCTCCCAACCCTGTAAAAACTGCGTTCCTTTCCTGATATGCCCTCTGGGTCTGTGATGGCTTTTCCTCACCAGCCTAAATAACAGACCCTTTCCTCCCAGACACGTATTTTTTAGCTGTTGGCAAAGACTTCGTGTCATGTTTTCACAGATTTATGCTCTGGTTTCGCAGAGCTCATTACTGACATTGTGGGTATTTCCTCTTTTACTCTTCAGCTGCTGTGAGGACCGAAACAACTCCTGAAGAGACACCTCTGCGTAAAGACTCTGTTGCTGCAGCGGATGAAGAACCAACATCAGCCCAGGTACCCTTCAGGCTACTTTACCCACCGGGCTGAATAAACCCAAGCGGGTAGCATTGTGCTTCACCTACCCCACCACTTGCCCTGCGTCTTTTCAGAGCCGCAGTCTTTGGTTTCTTCTTGTCCTCAGGACCCAGCAGCACCTCGGACTGTCCCAGACGCAGGCGGTGTGAGCGGGGGCCGTGCTGGAGCAGAGCTGTCTGTCGCTGCTGAGGGGATTTCACTGCCTGCAGACCAGCAGCAGGTGCTCGCCAGGTTGGTGACTACGCTGCTCCTAACTGCCTCCTGCACGCTGCTTACCACGCACGCTGGCAAGAAGCAACCCTGTTCTTCCACAGTCTTACAACTCGAGCTCCAGCTCTGTGCTCAGCGCAGCACAAAACGAGGCAGACACATGTTCTTTATCCCAAAATTAACCTTGTCGTATCTGGGCAGATAAATAACTCTTAGCTGCAGCATTCGATGCTGTCAGGTGCCAGAATTATGAGACATAAATCTGGAGAGGCCTGTGTCAGCAGATGCGGATGTAAAAAACCATCCTTTCCTGATAACAAATCCCGCCTAGATCTGTAGGCACGGAAGTCTCTTCCTTCTCTGGCTTTTTGCAGGTGTAATTTATGAGGAGTTTACAAAGCTGAATCTGGCAGTCGCTGACAGAGCTCAGGTGCCCAGGTTATGGAGGTGGCCTCCTTTTCCTCTTAGAAAAGGTTATCGAAGGGCACTTAGCGCCTGCTCATACCAGTACAAGTAAGGCAGCAAGCCTTGCTGCTGCTCGCTGTGCATGTGGATGGAGGGGAGCGTGTCCCCCACGACTCTCCCTTGTCACTCAGGTCACTCTTGCCTCCAGCTCACGCATCTGACAATGTTTGCAAGACGTCAGCCAGAACTGACATCAAAATTTCCAACAAGCACATTTTAGGGGCAGCATTACGCACAGGGCTGGGGTGTGAGGGCTGCCTGGGCTGTTCCAGAAACATACGCTTTAAGCAAATTCTGCCGATTTCTCTCTTTTACACTGTTGCGTGGAATTATAATAAAATTAGAAATGCTCAAGATAAGATACATTGTGGATGATAGAGTTTGATTCTGAGAAGTCTGGTGGTTTTTAACCAGTCTTTCAGCTTTATTGTGAGCTCCTGTGGCGTGTGCTTGCCCCGTTGGGCCTCTCCCAGGTGAAACAGGAGCTATTAAGAAATCTGGAACAGCACCATCTGCAATTTGCGGGCAATTCTGGCTATTGCTGGAGAGGTCTCCAAAGAAACCATTCATTCTGACTATATGTCAAATCTTAATAGTCCTATCGCAGAGTTCCTCTTTGTGACAAACAGGCAAAAAATGCTCTTCCAATCACATTGTTAAAATCAAAGCTCTCTGCAGATTAGGCAGGAGGGTTGGATTCCACAGGCACGGGGATTTTCAAAGCTGCCTGTTGAAAGCTTTACACATCAGGACGGCTGTGGAGATCTCCGATACTCACTCAGCAGAGCAAGGATTCCAGCGCTCATTAAGCAAACGAAACTGAAGGCTACTTGGCAAGCGCAGTACAGGAGAATCGCAGCTCATCTCTGGTGGAGAATGAGCTCTTTCGGATGGGTTTGAAGATAATTAAGAGGCTGTTATCAGCGGAGCTTTGATCAGCAGTGGGATTTTCTCCAATTTGAGCCAGTGCTTGCCAACCTGAGCTATCTGCTCTGCTGCAGATCCCCATGCAGACAAAGAGAAGGGCTCTGGAGCACAGCTTTATTTCCATGTTGGAGTGTACGGGGCTGTGCGGCATGAATGTGAGACAAGCTTGATTTCAAATGTGGGCCTGTGCCAGCGCTCGAGGAGAGACGCTGAGGTCACCCAAGTCATCAACCCTGCCTGATACTGCCCCAAGAAAGAAATCACACTGTGGCTTCAAGCCATACTGCTCCCGTAGCCACCATTTAAAATGTTTGTTTGAGTAATTCTGGCACATTTTGTGCTTGCCTTGAGAGTCTTTCAAAACGAGAAGTAAGAATTGAAATCGAAATTCCACAAAACAGGGTTTTTAAAAAGAATTCTGTGAGCGTAGATGCAGCTTTCCGGATGTACTTGTTGACAAAGGTGCTCGGAGTAACACACACTTTGCCTTGGGTCCATGGGAGTATCTATGACAGAAACTGTTAATAAAAGTGGAAGTATTAACTAATTATTAATTATTAAAGTGGCATGATTACTCAGGGCAGCAAATCTTGTCAGAAATCACTATTTCTGTCCTGTGCCTTCCCAAATATTGCTCCGGTAAGGACGTGTGGCCTCCACACTTCCGCGGCCGGCTGTCTGTACTGCTGAGCTGCGAGAAGGCTTTGCCTTTTGCAGACTGCAGATGCTGGAGCGCCAGGTGGTAGGGGGGGAACAGGCTGAAAACAAGGACCTCAAGGAAAAGCACAAACGCCGGAAAAAATATGCGGACGAGCGGCGGGCGCAGCTGGCGGCCGCGCTGCAGCAAGCTGACGACGACAGCAGCGACTGGGTTCTGCTGAACGTCTACGACTCCATCCAGGAGGAGGTTCGAGACAAAAGCAAGCTTCTGGAGAAGATGCAGAAGAAGGTGAGCAGCTCCCTGCCATCCCTGCTGAAGGCTCAGGGAGCATCGCCTTCCTCCTCTGCTTACCCGGGATTTTTAGGTTGAGGTTTAGGTTTTCGGGCAGTTACATTTAGAGAATAACTCTGGCTGCGTGAAGTATTTCACGCGTGTGCCCGCGTTAGTACCCGTAAGGTTGGTTGCGTGTATTTTTATGGTGAATTAAGTCGTGGAAACCCCAAACGCGGCCTGTTTTAAAGGCGGGTGTCCTTGCTGGGCTGCAGGCTGGCTGCAGGATCCCGACCGGTGGTGGGAGAGGCTGCGACTCCCTCTGCTGACCTGCACAACCTGCAGCACAGCCTTCTCCGGATACCACCCCTGGGCTCCCGGCAGGAACTGCACCCGGAGAAATCTTCCAGGGGAAAAAAAAAATAGATATAAAAGCAACGCTCTTAAATTTTAGGCACTCTTGAAAATCAGTTTTGCTTTGATGAGGTGAGGCAGAATCAGAGGAGCTTCAAAAAAAGAAAATAAGTGTGTGTGTGTGTGTGTGTGTGCAGTCCTAAATCTGCACGTTAAGAGCTTGCTTTATTTCTGTATTTAGGTTATCAAAGAAATATTGCAGCTTTTTCACTGAAATTAGGAACTCCCAAGAGTTCGTTAGCACTGGACACAGCCCACACTAGTGAGATTAACTTAAGGTGCGTTCCAAGCCTCAGCACTGGAGAAACGCAAGAAATCTTTCATTAAAACAGACGTGGAATAATCTCTCCACTCAAATCTCGTGTTAATTCTTAATGATACATTAGAAATTTTCCCAAATATTGAAGCTTTTGTGTGCGTCTTGACACTGCCTGACAAATTCCTGTACTCGCAGTAACCATCGGTCTCTCCTTTATAACCCCAGCGAGTTACGTTGGTTTTGATACCTGTAAATGTAAAATTTCCACTTACTAGAGTGATTGTAATTGAAGTAGATCCTTCAATTAGGATCTAAAGTAGTCTTCAGTTCCGCCTTTTCACGGCATCATTTCTGTGTCTCAGCTGCGGGCTGCCGAGACCGAGATCAAAGACCTGCAGTCGGAGTTTGAGCTGGAAAAGATCGACTACCTCGGCACCATCCGCCGCCTGGAGCGAGACCTGCTGCTCACCCAGCAGCTGCCGGGCGCAGTCCCTCGTCCGCCGCGACTGCAACTACAGCAACCTGGAGAAGGTCAAGCGCGAATCCGTCTGGGATGAGGAAAACGGTTGCTGGAAAATTCCGGAGCCCGTCATTCAAAAAACCCGCCTGCCCGCAGGTAAGCGGGGCGTCTCGGCGGATCGGGGCTGGGCCGCACGTGCTTGTCAGAGCTGCCGCGTACGGAAACTTTGTCTAGAAAGTCTGAATAATAACAGCGTCTAACGCGAAGCGCGGTATGGATCCTTCGGGAACCTCTGTGAGCCCATAATCAGTGACTGGAGCGGTGCTGGGGATTGGGGAGCGCAGTCACAGAATCGCAAAGGTTGGAAAAGACCTCTAAGATCATGAAGTCGAAGCGCCAACCCAACCCCACCACGCCTGCTGACCATGCCCTGAAGTGCCACTTCCACACATTTTTTGAACCCCTCCAGGGATGGGGACTCCCCCCCCCCCCTGGGCAGCCTGTTCCCATGCCTGACCAATCTTTCAGCAAAGAAATTTTTCCTAATATCTAATCTAAATCTCCCTTGACGCAACTTGAGGTCATTGCCACTCATCCTCACCCTCAGCAAGTTCGCTGATGACACCAAACTGGGAGGTGTGGTAGATACACCAGAAGGCTGTGTTGTTTTAACGAGACCACGACCCTTTAACACTGTCTCTTCTCAGCAGTTCCAGCCCTGCCACAGCCCAAACCCGCCCGCAAGAGCCCCTCGGCTGAGAGCGCAGAGCTGACGGTACGCTGCACTCCTCCTCCCTTTTTCTTTAGTATTTTACCGGTTTTGCCATATTTCTACGCCGTAACCCGGCGCTTTCCGCTTGCAGCCCGCGGACGGCAGCGCCAGTGTCGCCAGTAGCTGCTTCGGAGCCCCG